AATGGGAATTGCTTATAAGGATACACATCGCCCTAAAAGAGACAGGTTCTTGGGAGACCCAGGAAGAGCCAGGCCTCAGAGAGATCCGATCTGGAAGGGCATTTGGGATCCATAGCAATTCTCAGCCTGGGGCGTGCTCCTTCCTCCTTGACAGAGTGAGTTTACCAACCTGACTCGGGTGCCCTGTTCATGTGGCTCCGGGTCTCTTCTCTGCTGCTTTGACTATGATACTCTCTACCCACCCCCTCATCTTCTGCTCATTATAGCTTTCCTCTGCCTTGGGCCTCTTCCTCCTTGTACCTCCTTGTAGCTGCCAATTCCTCCTGACATTAATCCACTCCTGAACCATCATGTTCCCTCCAACCTGATGTCCACTCCCTGCTAGCTTCAGCTCCCAAAACCAAACCCCCGATTTTTAGTCTCTATTTCCCAGTTCAAATTCCATATGTAAAGGAACAAAGGTAATTAATCTGGGTGCCTTGGCTAAGGGGACACAGTTTTCATCCAGGATACCTTATGGGGTGCTGGTCAACTCATGGAATAACTCGGGCTACCTCCCTCCATAGGGGTACAGAGGATGGGTATGTTCCAGGAGGAAGCATCAAGTACCACATCTTCAACAAGCAAGAATGTTTTCTCTATACCTTGTAGCCTGTTACAAATTTTCAGAGTGGTGCCAAGGTGAAAACAGAGTGGATGGACATTTTCTTGTAGCATTGTTCTACTTTATATTTTCTCTTAAATATTTTTTTCCCCACCCTGCCTTTTAAACTTTTTTTCAGCTTTCACCACAATCTAAGCAAGGGACATCTTTTCCTTCTCCTAATTGCATTCTGTAGCTTCCAAAAGCATTCATTCATTCACTTATCGATTTATTCAATATCCGTGGAGGGCGTGCTTATAAGAGGTAAAATTCTAGACAATGAAGACATAAAATTCATCCATTTACTTGATAAATATTAATTGACTACCTGCAAAGTACCAGGCTTAAGCCATTTGCTGGGACTATGAAGATAACTAAGACACAATCCCTGTCTGATGTGTAGTAAGAATTCAGTAAATACTTGTTGAATAAGCAAGTGCCTTAAAGGAGCTCCCAGCCTCGTGGGCAAGAGAGGCAAGTATTAGGCAATTACAAGCAGGGTGAAAAGGGCTGTCTGGAGAAAGTCTGCAGGAAGAGGCCTGGAGCGACCATGAACAGCGAGGGGCTGCAATTGGACACAGGGTCAATAAAGCCGGCAATTATGATTTTAAGATCTGGAAGGGAAGTCTATACATGGGATGGCACAGGGTCCTCAATTTAAACACACGGTTAAGTTGAGCTTCTGGAATTCCCCTAGGACCTTGCTGCTGCTGCCCGCATCCAGACGGCAGAGGGACAGGAAGATGGGCTGAACCTGGTGTGGACCCCTCCCACTCATACTCCATTGGCAAGAGCTAGTCATTGGAATTCTCTTAACTGCAAGACAGGCTGGGAGAGGTAGTCTAACTGTGTTCCCAGGCAGAAGAGATTTTCAGTGGCAGCTAGAGCCTTAGAGAAAAGGTTCCAGGAAGTGGTCCCATCCAGAGTTGTACAGGCATCCTTGATCGCAGCTCATTGCCAGGGAGGTCAGTGGGCAGGCAGAAAACTCAGTGACCAGAGCAACTCTGGGCCATCCAAGGTCCTTCAGGTACTTCAGGCAGTTTTATGGGGTGTAAGATCTTATCTTCCAAAATGAGATTTGACAATTGCATGTTCTGTCTATAGAAAAAGGTAGATTTCAAGTAGAAACTTGTCAAGAACTGTGAAGGGCTTGAGATTTTCCTTGCAGGCTAATAAGTTATAACGCTCATCACAGATTCCTGGATGCTGATAGACACAGGAGATGCCGAGGTCAGAGATACAGGACTGTGTAATTCACAGCAATAGCAGTGGCCAGAGGGGCAGCACTTTCTTCCCCCAGTCAGCCAAGGTCAATTCCCACAACGTGACACAAAGGGGAAAAGGGGCACCTGTGCGCGTGATGGTCTGTGTTACAAGAGAGGAGCTTCAAATTTAGGGAAATTGAATCCTCTATACTGGGCCTTAAGCATGTCTGCTCTCGTTCTGGAGGGGGACATGATCTCTGTCTTCCAAAGCCGTCAGCAATCTGTTCTTTGCCCTACAGACAGACCATATCTCTACCTTCGAAGGCTGTTCACGTTACAAACATTCTTGAAAAGAGAGTCTAGAACAAAGGCAGTCAGTGTCTCTGCTTGCAAGGTATGCAGAAATGTGAGAGATACTTGGAGAACTGTCTTCCAAGAAAGAGGTTCCTTTTTAGCCAGGAGTGTTCTTCAGACGGCAGCTTCCTCCTCCGCCTGACCTCTAGATGTTGGCAGATCCCAGGGCTCAGTTCTCAGAGCTCTTCCTTATCTACACTCCCTTCCTTGGGATCTCTTTCAGCCTCTTATCTTTAAATCCATGTTGATGATCCCAAATTTACAGTTTGCACTTCAACACTGCCCCCACTTCCAGACTCAGATAGCAAACTGCCTATGTGGCATCTTCCCTTGGTTATCATCTAGAAGTCTCGAGCATAACATATGTTTGAGTCTCATCCTTCACATGAAAACTGATCTTTCCCCAGGGTAACCCCTCTTAGGAAAGAGTATTAGACATTCAGTTGCTCAGGCCAAAAATTTCTCTTTCTTCCATATCCACACCAATATTCCATAAGCCTATTCTGTTTTCTTTCTTTCTTTTTTAAAGATCTTATTTATTTATTTGTCAGAGAGAGATGGCGTGAGCGAGCGCACAAGCAGGGGGAGTGGCAGGCAGAGGGAGAAGCAGCTCCCTGCTGAGCAGGGAGCCTGATGCCAGACTCGATCCCTGGACCCTGAGATCATGACCTGAGCCAAAGGCAGACGCTTAACTGACTGAGTCACCCAGGCATCCCAAGCCTATTCTGTTTTCAAATTATAACCAAATTATAAGCATCTGAGCACTGCTATCCTTCTACGTCATCATATCCTAGTCTCAACCACCTTGTCTCTGTCCTAAACAACTGCCATAAATTTCTAATCGGCCTCCTACCTTCTAATCTTGCCCCATATATTCTAACCTCCATGGCAGCCAGAGTAATTCTTTTCAAATGTAAATCAAGTAATATTATTCTGCTTTCAACCTTCCAATGACATTCCAAACACATTTAGAATAAAATTCAAGGTCAAGACTATGTACACTTTGACCTCTGCCTCTAAATCTGACCTCATATGCTACCCTTCCTCTCCCTTCTTGCTCTCACTGTCTTGAAAATGCTGAGCATGAGGTTATCTCAGGGCCTTTGCACTTTGTTGCCCAAGTCAGTTAGGGCTCTGTCAGTTGTCAATTGAACAGAGAACCCTTCCTGACTATCCTAAATAAAATAACACACCCTCACTACCCCTCTTTCATTTTACCCAGCTTTATCATTTTTCTTCACCTTTATTACTGCCTGATTTTAAGCAGCAGCTTAGAATATATACTTCATGAGTTAAGAACTTGGCTTTGTTCACTGACATATCCTCTGCTTCTAGAATAATACCTGGCACAGAGTAGATGCTCAATAAATATTTGTTGAATGAATGAATGAATGAATGAATGAATGAAAACAGTTAATATGAGGTACGAATATGGAGACAATATCAGGGGTATGGATATTTTATGCCTCAATCTTTCTTCTTTAAGCTAAATCAACTGATCTCATAACTGTATTTTTCTCCCAAAAGGCATATCCTTCAGCTCTTTAATAATTCTGGTTTCTCTCTACAGGATTCTTGCCATGTTCTTTCATGTTCTTGTGTATGATGGAGTTCAAAATTGAACATAGCCTTCTGAGAAGAACCTGAGCAGTCTATAATTAGTTTTTTCTCTCTCCACAGGATTCGCATGCTTGTCTAGAAATACACCTTTAAAAGATAATCTCCCAGGACATACGCCCAGCCACAAAGAAGCCTGTCCAAGGTCAGAGAGTTTAGAGAGTAACAAAGCGAATATTTGATTCTTACCTGTTTGCAGTTTTTACAAATCCCCAAACACTCTCCTGAATACATTGGGAAAAATATATAATCAACCTCACGAATTTAGCCATAGATTGTATCTATTTTAAATCGGTCACTCTTCCTTTTAACAACTAAATAACTGCTATGTGCCAAGTGGTAAGCTAGAGGCTGGGACAGAGAGAAGAGCCCTTGGTCCTGATCCAGAGGAACGCCAAATCCTAGGCACCACCATGTCTGTTTCCATTGTTGTTGTGAAATTATCTAATCTGGCTCTAATTTCATTTTCATACATTATATTTATTTCCAATATCACTTTTTAATTAAGAATTCTATACTCATGGAAAAAATATATTTTATCCAGTTTGAAAAACAAGGGAGCACAGTGTTTTGCTTTCCCTAGACTGCCTTCTATTTTAATTGTAAAATGATTTTTACTTTTCAGAGTTCCTTTCAATTTTCTGCAAAGGATTTAACAATGGAATACAAAAATCTCAGGTATCTTCCTTTAGCTCATTTTAAAACCCTCCTTACAGGGTACCTGGGTGGCTCAGTCATTAAGCGTCTGCCTTCGGCTCAGGTCATGATCTCAGGGTCTTGGGTTCGAGCCCCGTATCGGGCTGCCTGCTCAGTGGGAAGCTTGCTTCTCCCTCTCCCTCTCCCCCTGCTTGTGTTCCTTCTCTTGCTGTCTCTCTCTCTCTGTCAAATAAATAAATAAAATCTTTAAAAAAAAAAACCCTCCTTACATATAACTTACATGTTTTTGTTTGATTTATCACCTTTACTGTTGCTATTAAATTAAAATTTAGGAACAACTTTAGATTATATTTCCATTGCTCTTTGGACATTTTATTGATCAATATTTCACTAAAGATATTAACTTTCTCTAGGATGCAGAGAGACTAAGAGAACTCACACAAAAATTTCTACTGAATGAATTTCCCCACCTTCTTGGTGATTGTACACCTGCCTTCCTTATAAGGAGAACAAGGAAGTAAATCATGTTGAAGTCGCTTTTAAACACAGCTTTCCTTCTTTACCTGTCCAGGTAGCCTGTTTTCATTTCAGTCTTAATGAAAACTTTTACATTTACATCTCAAGTTTCTTTCTAAAGCAGTGTAAGTAGTATTTCACATTTTACACCTCCAGAAAGAAAGACTTTAATGATGTTCAGCTTTGGTCTTATAATGTTGAAGGTAATTCATTTTTTAATCTGCACAGAGAGAACTGAAACGAATGGGGATTGAACTGCTTTGCCTGTTCTTTCTATTTCTAGGAAGGAATGATCACGTACAAGGTAAGACCTAAGCTCTCCGATATATTGCTTTCTTGGTATGCTTGACAAACCTGTCATTTGGTTCAGAAACTAGATCTGAAGTCATTTTTTATTTGATCTGTTCGATAGCTTGTTGGCCATTGAACGAACGCTTTAACAAATTACAGGCAGAGGCAGGGCTGTTCCCACAGCAAATGCTCTCGGCTTCAGGTAAATAAATACAAAGGTTGCATGGGCATCTTAATGAGGAGAATTAAACAGCTTTATTACATAATAGGGCTCCTTAATACCTTAGTGACAACCATCTTGGTAACTTTTCTAGCTATTCTATTGACAAGGTCTTACACTTAAGAGAAATAATCTCGAGAAAGAAGAACTTACTTTAAAAATAAAAAAAAATCATTCGTTTAAGAGAGACACATTTTTTTTGTTTTCTTGAATTAAATTTTTAAGTCTTCATTTTTTAAAATTTTATTTTATTATGTTGCAAATAATTTTTAAAAATTAAAGTGGGTGATAGTGAATGAGGATAATAAACATAATGAATGGTCCTAAGTTTGTGAATGTTGAGATAGTTTTATATTTTAAGAAAAAAAAGAAGAATGATCACTTTTAGCTAAAAAGACACACATATTCTCCATGTGACAGATGTAAAATGTGAACTTTTTGGCGAGTTGCAAACTTTTTCAGAACTGATCTCTGAAGCCTAACATCAACTTTGATGTTGCTTCAAGTACTTTAAGAACTAGACTTTTTTCTCGTAAATGAAAATGACTGCGAGTGTGCTGAATCCCTGTGTCTTGCTGGGTTTAAACACAGGTGACTGTGCCATGGGAGGGGCAGAGACCTGTGAAGACTGCTTACTCATTGGACCCCAATGTGCCTGGTGTTCTCAGGAGGTAAACAACCTCAGCATGTTGGTAAAAAAACTGCAATTACGGGTTATGTGGCTTCCATCGATGATCGTTCTGATAGCGTCCTGCTTTCTGTGGGGAATAGGAGTGAGACAAATCAGAAAAGGAAAATATAAGCATCAGTAGGCCACCGTGTCATTCACGTGATTACTTCCAAAAATAACTTGCGGAGGTAGCGAATGTCAAAATCATTGTGAAAAATATCTAACTCGGGTTCCTTTATTTAACCTGATTCCTCCTCTTATTTTAAAGGCATTTCTCACTGGTTACGTGTCAAATGCCGAGGCTCTCAGTAATCAGAGATCACAGAGATGATATTTTCTAAAGTTAAATATACATTTGACTTCAATATCATAATTGTATTCCATCTGGGAACCAGGATCCATTGGGAACCACAGTTAGGTTCTAAGAGAAGTTTGGGGGGAAATTTTGCTGCTCAGACAGTATCCAGTTCTTTTAAAAATTAAGTTTTCGTGAGCTTGGTGACTGTACCACACCGATGACAAAGCCTGAAACAGACATTCCTTATCTGATCAAACTGAAAAGTGCGTGAAAGTTATATAAGGGGTGGATCACAAGGAATCCCAAGTCACTGCCTTCTGTGACCCTGAAGAACAGTCTGTAAATGACTCCTGGTAAGGAAGAGCCGCCTTAACTCTTTCTGGATTTAAAACAGTTCTCTACTGAATCTCATAAAGAGTATCTGAGCACAAATGAAAGCATACAAATGCCAAGGTCAGCAAGAACTGAGTAGCAGGCTCAAAGGGGAACGAGCCTGGGTGCCTGGCTCAGGAGGAGGTGAGAACTGTTAAGACTGAAATTCCAAGCTGACTGTATACCGTAGAGGAAGGCCTCACAGACCCAGAGCACACACCTAGCCAACTCCCCCATTACTGCCTTGAACGGATGGGCCGTACATCAAAGTGTGAAGGAATTATGCTTTTTTTTGAGCTCACATATCAAAAGCAGTTTTGAGAATATACCAAGAGGGAAAAACCTACATATTTTTTTTATGTTGACTCCCTGAAGAAGACAGTATTAGTTTCATGCCAGAGACATAAAACAACAAATCAGTCTAACTATATGCCTACCTGTAGAATTTGTATTTAAATGCATTTTTTAAGCATTCATTTAAGAGAGCTTCTTAAGTTACTACTAATAGCTTTACTTGTGGATGATACTTGTTAGCCAAATCACTGTCAATTTTTTTTAAAGATTTTGTTTATTTATTTGAGAGAGAGAGAGAGAGCACACACACACTAGTGGGGGGCGAGGGGCAGAGGGAGAGGGAGAAACAGACTCTCCACTGAGTGCGGAGCCCGCCGCAGGGCTCAATCCCAGGACCCCAGGATCATGACCTGAGCCCAAGGCAGACACTTAACCAACTGAGCCACCCAGACGCCCCACAAATCACCATCAATTTTTAAGGCCATATTATTCTAAATGCACTCTAACAGTAGAAGTAGTTGAGGCAACTGAAGCAAAAAGTACATTAGGCCTCTGTTTAGAGCAGATTGAAAAAAAAGGTTCTACAGTTACCACCACCTCTTGTGCGTTGGCCAACACTGTAGTTACAGGTGGTAGCAGCCACACTGTGCTGAGAGGCATCCTGAGGCCTTGTCAAGCCACTGCTTGCTTTGGATGTATCAGGGGGAGTTACAGTGTTCACTATGCTTAGTCTAGGGCCTCAAATAGGCACAGCTCTGACTGACAGATAATCAGTTATATTGTAAAAAATCAATTTCAAGGGAGCCTGGATGGCATAATCTGTCAAATATCTGACTTTTGATTTTGACTCAGGCCATGATCTCATGGTTATGGGATCGAGCCCCATGTTGGACTTCATGCTCAGCGGGGAATCTGCTTGAGATTCTCTCTCTTCCCTTCTCCTTCTGCCCCTTCCCCTGCTCATGCTCTCTCTCTCTCTCTCAAATAAATAAATGACTCTTTAAAAAAATCAATTTCAGAAGAAATATAACTTTTCTAGTTGGTGAAATAACTAGAGTGGCTTAGAATTCTAAGAGATGAGGAAAAACAATATGAGCATTGGTTTGCGTCCTTTCAAGCATGACAGTCAATGAGCCTCAAGCTTGACTTTGCTTAGAGCTACAGCAGCTCTAGAATAGCCTTGGCTATTAGGTAAGACAGGTAAACGTTGCAAGGTTATAATGGCCACATCTCTGCCTGGAAACATTCATCTCACTGTTCCATGTTACCAGGTGGATCAGAAGGGAACTGGGAAACTCCTGAGTCCTACACAGAAAAGCAGTCTTTTATAATCATATTCTCTTTTGCTTCCCTTCTGCACCTCCAAATCTTGGAGAAAAGTTCTAAAAGACCTTGAACTAGAACACTTTCAGACACTGAATATAAAGTCCCCAAGAGGATGACTTTAGTGAAGTAAGGCTGCAATAGAAGGGTAATGATGCATCCACAAATTAAACCACAACAGAGAGCTAGATAGGGAGATGTCACAATATTTTGCCCTTTCAGACCCCACAGGAAATCTCTCTTTGCCACCAGATTTGGTACTAGACACACTGAGAGCTAAGACAGTCCAGGAGCCTACAGGTCAACCCAAACAGATAAATTCATGGGATGATATTAACTCTAGAACCCAACTGTTTCAAGGATCTGGTCATGGCACAGAAGAAGCCTCAAAGAAGTGAATATTAAGAACAAAATAGCAAAACCAACAAATAAAAGACTGTTAGGTGAATTCAACTGGATATAATTAAAAGGAGAATCCAATTTTACTCAGAATTTTACTGGCAGAATTCTCTGGTTATTCCGCTAAAACTTAATTTTAGACCTACAATTAACATCAGGCACATGGGAATATGATATACTGAGAATGGCAAGATGCCTAACTAGCAAAACAAGCAAAAAAAAATTTTTTTTGTCTGATAAACAAATGGAGATTTGTCTTCTTTTTCTCTTTGTCTTTTTTTCTCTTTTTTTAGAATTTTACCCATCCATCGGGAGTTGGAGAAAGGTGTGATACCCCAGCAAATCTTTTAGCTAAAGGATGTCAACTAACTTTCATCGAAAACCCTGTCTCCCAAGTAGAAATACATACAAATAAGCCTCTCAGTGTAGGCAGACAGAAAAATAGTTCTGACATTGTTCAGATTGCGCCTCAAAAGTTGACTCTTAAATTGAGACCAGGTATGTTATGATTTACATGAGCATTGGCTCATGTAAATAAATCTAATGCCACATATGGTAATACCATTATTAAGCTAATATATCTTGTACCATATTACATATCATTGATTATTATGACTCAGATTTCCCATTCTTAAGGAAATAGAGAATCGCTGGCCTAACACTTTTCTTCATTCACATGGGTCACTTGCATTCCAAATGAGTTACTAAAATAAGCTTATCTAATAGTAAGCATTTGAATTACTCAAATGTTAAGGCTTACCTCACATTTCTTTAAGTATTGTAATGTAGCTTTAAACTCCTCTTTATTTTCTTCTCTTTTGCTAAAACCACATACAAAAAATTCAGCTTATCTTCCATCTAAATGGATGCTAGTTCTCCCAAGGAGATATAAAATATCCTAACTTTTACCTCCTTCAGTAGCTCTAAACTCGCTGTTGAAAGATTTTCATGGGCTCATTCACTTGTAAACTTTACCGGATAGTTTATGAAATCCTAAGTATCTTCAGTAAGTTCTCCCTGAAATGAAATAGCCAGGTGGCCCCGTAATTGGCCACTCATGAAGGAGTCTTGATGTATTTTTATGGATTTGCTTTTCTCATGGGGGTTTTTGCAGGCAGTGAACAGACTCTGCAAGTGCAAGTCCGCCAGACGGAGGACTACCCGGTGGACTTGTATTACCTCATGGACCTCTCGGCCTCCATGGATGATGACCTCAACACAATCAAAGAGCTGGGCTCCCTGCTTTCCAAGGAGATGTCTAAATTAACCAGCAACTTTAGACTGGGCTTCGGCTCTTTTGTGGAAAAACCTGTCTCCCCTTTTGTGAAAACAACCCCAGAAGAAATCGCCAACCCTTGCAGGTAAGTAAATGATTCTCTGGCATCTTGGAACACTGATTTTCTGTAGAGAAAGCCCCGCTCTGAGCTGCACTTGGCAGGAGCTTGCTAACTCCTTGGCATTTCGCTCCTGCCAGGTTGGATCTCAGCAGCTCTCTCAGTTGCCTGGGCCCCTTGGAACCAAGATGACCTCATCTCAATGCCTGGTTCTAGTCTTGGGTTCTTGCAGCATCCTCACATCTGTCTTCCTGTGTAGCATCTTTTTCAGGATGTGGCAAATTTGGCTTTGTGCTCGGCAGACTAGGAAAGCGCGTCTTTCACTGTAGGTTCCGATGGCCTGTGTCCATCCACAGCCCCTCAGAGACCTTCTAGGCCCAATGACCACCACTTTCTGAGGCTATTGGACAGTAACTCACACTTTCTCAGAGTATCTTTCTCCACTACAATGACTTCTGCCAAAATAACAATTCGTGCAGCTCCCTCTGACATCCTTTGGGAAATGGGGATTTCTCTTATTGCTTGGAGAAGGACTTTGCAGCCTTCACTTCTATCTAATTCAGTAGGAAATTAAGCATTATGGACCCCATTATAATCTGTTATTATCAGCTATTAAAACCATTTATTATCCAGGTGATGGTCAAGGGCAAGTTGCTTTGTGATGGTTTCCCTGTACAGTCAATGACATGTTCAGAATCAAGTTATTCACTATCCTTCTATTAAAAAGAGCTACTATTGGGCGCCTGGGTGGCTCAGTTGGTTAAGCGACTGCCTTCGGCTCAGGTCATGATCCTGGAGTCCCTGGATCGAGTCCCGCATTGGGCTCCCTGCTCGGCAGGGAGCCTGCTTCTCCCTCTGACCCTCCCCCCTCTCATGTGCTCTCTCTCTCTCATTCTC